CTTGTGATTTTCAACTGTAGGTAATAAGTTTTTCAAAAAATAAAATTTTGGTATTGGCTAATGAAAATCTTGGTGAGGGAGATAAAAAAGAAATAACATAAGTCGAGGTTTTGCAGCAGTAAATCAGTGACGGAAATTCTCATCTTCTAAGGATTTGAAATACATCAGAAAACACTAATTGAAGCATTTGAATAATAATTAAGCGTATATATATATATATATAGGGGTTTCTAGGGGTGTATTTCCAAACAAAATAAAAAAAACATTGTGTTTTTTTCAATAAGAGCCATTTAATTACAAGCTATTATACAGCGATATTTACATTAACTATTAATTAATTACAATCATCTTCTCTCGCTACTTGCTGCAGCCTGGCTACCCCGTCTCGCCACCTTTCTCGTTGTTGGCCAGCTTTCTTCTCCCTCGCACATCTACGGAGATCTGTCCCCTTCTCCTGGGGTCAGAGTTCAAAGTTGAATACTCCCCCACGCTGTAAACAGGCTCTGTCAAAGACAAGCAACCGTGATGTGTTGCCGCCTGCTGATTAGCACACAAACAAATCCTATATATATATATATATATATATATATATTTATTTATTTATTTAATTTACGGCAGAATGATGTTCCATGTTTTCATTTTTCATTAAAAGCTGAACATTTTTCTACAATGAAGTATACTTATACACGTCTTTTTTAATGTATAAATGATATGATGACATATGCCAAATTATTATGTACACTTGTATGTTATTTATTTGAGAAACGTTATAATTCCTAGAGAATTTTATTAAATGACCTTGAATGGAAAGCTATACTTAAAAACGCTTTTTTAAACTAAACATTTATTCTCAGAAATTTTATTATATGACCTTGAATAGAAAACTAATACACGGGTTTTTAAAGAGCAAATTTCATGAGATGGACCAAACTATTATGTATGTTATTTATATTGAAAATGCTATTAATTGTTCCTCGAGAATTTTATTAAATGACTTTGAATGGAAAACTATATTTATACACGTCTTTTTAAAGTAAAAATGGCATGATGAGATGGGCCAAATTATTATGCACAATTGTATGATACTTATTTGAAAAACACCATAATAATTCATCGAGAATTTTATTAAATGACCTTGAATGGAGAGCTTTACACGTCTGTAAAAATGATATGATGAGATGGATCATATTATTATGTATGTTATGTATTTGTGAAACATTATAATTATTCTTCAGAAATTCTATTAAATGACCTTGAAAAGAAAATTAATATACGAGTTTTAAAAAGTGAAAATTTTACGAGAGGGGCCAAATTATTATATACACTTGTATGTTCTTTATTTAGAAAAAGTTATTAATTGATCCTCAAAAATTTTATCAAATGACCTTGAATTGAAAACTATATTTATACACATCTTCTTAAAGTAAAAATGATATGATGAGATGGACCAAATTATTAAGTACACTTGTACGTTTTCTTTTTGGAAAACGTTATAATTATTTCTCAGAAATTTTATTATATGTCCTTGAATAGAAAACTAATAAACGAGTTTTTAAAGTGAAATTTTCATGCGATATGCCAAATTATTATGTATACTACAAGTGTACATAATAATGTACAAGTGTTATTTATATGGAAAAGTTATTAGTTATTCCTCAAGAATTTTATTAAATGACCTTGAATAGAAAATTGTTGTTCAAGCTTTAAGTTGAACTTTTTATCTTTTGTACTCGTATGAAAAAAAAGAAAAAAAAATGTGAAGTTTGTAAAAAAATTGAATGAAAGGTGTGAAGCGAAAATGAACACTTCTCAATTATTACCTATTGGGGAATTATTTGCGTTATATATTAGTGTAATTTGATTTCCATCGTGATATAAAATTATAAAGTATACATATTCCTACGCATGTAAAAGATGATAAAGATCATGTAACCGCCTACTCTAAAAGATAGTGTAAAACCAAAAATACATCAGAAATAAATTACAAATGCACTGACGCTTTAAATTTAAAGTATGAGTAGGCAGTTTTAAAAGTGCTCTTTTGTTGAAAATAATAGAGCTCTTTACATATGTGAAATGGATGCTTTTTTTTAAGTTCTTACCTCATACAACACAAGTATTTCATAAAATACTATTGACAAAATACAATGATGAAACACTGAAACAAACGCAATGTAACTGACAGCTTGAATTTATAAGATGCAAAAAAGAAAAAAAATGCAGAGCGGTTTGATAGTTAAGGGCAGAATGTCAACCCCGTATCAGTTTCGTTTCAGCCTTTCATCGTTACAACACACAAACGGAGCTGATTCGTTTTTAATAATTTAGTATTTGCATGCCTGCTTTTTTAAATTCCAATTCAGTAATATGTATTGTGAAAGGATACAGATTATTTAAGAAAATACAGTTTTTACAGAAAATACAGTCCACAATGTTTTTACAGTTGTCCCTTTTTAATACGCTTTTATTAGTTTCACCTGTATGTTTATTTATTTGTTTGTTTGTAACTGACTCTTTGGGCTCGATTTTGCTCTACTTTAAGCTATCAGATTTAATTTAAACGTTGTAGATTTATCAAGGACCGACGACAATAAAATATTTTGATAAGTTTATTATCTCATCATGATTAGGATCGCCAGGATTAGAGATTTTATTTTAACTTATGAAGAGCAATTTAAACCATGTAGAATGAAAGTACCTAAGACATGCAAACCTACGTGGGACAGTGGCACAACGGATAACGCGCCTGACTACGGATCAGGAGATTGCCTGTTCGAATCCTGGCTGGCTCGACATATTCCCATTTAGCCTTTGTTTTACTCACAATTAAATTATTGTAAGAACTATAGTTCCAGTCTTCCGTACCGGGACCGCATTTAAATATTATAGTTTAAAAACACGCTTTTAGAGTTAATCAAACTAATAAATTATAGTTTAAAAACACGCTTTTAGAGTTAATCAAACTAAAAAGTAAAAAATAATTGTTAACATAAGAATAAAATTACTGACGAGAAAGTGAATGTCATTGTTCTAAAAGCGTGGGGTGCTTTGTATGATATTTTTAAACTAACTCTGCATTTCGGAATGAAACTAGTGAAAAATTAAAACGATTGATATCGAGCACCCCCAGCTTTTAGAACAGTGACATTTTCTCGTCAGTAATTTTATTCCAAGTGACCATTTCTCCTGATCGCCACAGAGGGCGCTCTTGCAGTGCGTAGGAGGAAGTAAGGTTACAAGTTGGAAAATTTGTAATTTTCATTTATATAATATTGCATTTCTTACAGTTTTTATTAAATATTTATCGAATTTTTACTCCACTTTCCCTCCATCCATGAATACACTACTCGTGAGGTGTCATCCCGCGTTGCCGGACACAGATGATAAATCACAACAACAACGAGTCTGTTGTCACAACTACCATCTAATCTACTCATTTTTCAAATTAGTAAATAGTATCTCTAAGTTTCCGGGAGTCGGTAAAAAGTGACCCACAATACAAGCGCGAGCAACAGTAAGTGACGTCTTGGTAGAGAGAAGTTTTTGGAGGGAATTACTCCCCCTCCCCCTTTCTTTTTGGTGGTATACAATAACTATAAGAAAACACTACGATTTTCTAATTTGATTTTTTTAACTTCTAATTTCTAAATTTTTAATTTCTAAATTTTTAATGAAATTTTTTAAAAATTTATTTGGTAAAAGAATTTATTTTTTATTATTTTGGTAAGAAAAATTTATCAATTCATTAATCTGTTATATTTGATCATGTGTGTCCATTATATTTTATTATGTGGGACTATGATGTTGTCCTTGGTTCGTGACGTCTCCAAAAAAGTGAAATTAGAAAAAAAAAAATAAATAAGAGTATAAGTTATTATTTAAAACAAATTGATTTTATCGCGCAACACGAGAAACTACCACTTTGCAAAAAAAAAAAAGAACACCCAACCTTTTATTTAAAAAAAAAACCACTCATTTTCCACGTGGAGTTAAAAACTGACGAAATAAGTGTTGCACAATCGAACGATTGGCCAATATCAAATCACGTGCTGCATATTTCATTTTGTACTGTCTGGCTTTCAAAATGTAAACAAATTATTGTTTCAATCTTCTGAAAATGGTTTTTAGCTATCAATTTATGCTTATAAAAGTTAATTTAACTGTCATTTAACAGACTTCTAGGTCAGATTTTGGAAGTGCTTCTTGTAGTATTTGAACAATTGCTTCGTCATGAAGTTTTACAGTCATCAAATTTTAGCATATTCATGTGGCTAATGAATTTGGTAGTTCTTGCATTATTTTGGCAAATTGCTTCATAAATTTTTTGGTTTATTAAACATTTCTATACTTCCATATGTATTCGTTTATTTGTATACTTCCATACGTATTTCTTCATTTGTATACTTCCATACGTATTCGTTCATTTGTATACTTCCATACGTAATCGTTTTGTATACTTCTATACGTATTCATCATCATAACTGGCACCCTCTTGGCCGTAGACCTCCAGTTTTTTATCTTAATAATATTAAATCTATACGTATTAGTTCATCCGTATTTCCATACGTTTTCGTTCATTTGTATACTTCAATAAGTTCGTTCATTTATATAATTCTATACTTATTCTTTCATTTGTATACTTTCATACGTATTCGTTCATTCATATACTTCCATATGCATTCGCTCATTTGTATACTTCCATACGTATTCGATCATTTGTATACTTCTATACGTATTCGTTCATTTGCATACTTCCATATGTATTCGTTCAGCAAAGAATGTTCAAAATTGAAATTGAAATTCGTGAGCGGATTACATTTTTTTTTTTAAATTTTAAAAATTAAACCAATATTAAATTAATATTATATTTTTATGCAATTAATTTATAAACTTTTAATTAATTTAAATGAGATTACACTGATATCTCTAGCATAATTTTCGAAAGAGGATAATAATAATTTAATTTTTAATAAGGAAATAATAATTAATTCGTAACAGCCAACGGCCGTACCATGCTGAATATACCGGTTCTCGTTAGATCAAACATCATTGGGCGCGGTCAGTACTTGGGTGGGTGACCACCTGGGAACACCGTGTGCCGTTGGCAAATTTGGGACCTGAATGGCCGAGTGTCTAGAGCTCTGGCGCTCCGTGCCACAGGTTTCGGGTTCGAATCCCGGCGGTGCCATGGATGTTTGTAGTGGTTCGGAATCCACTTTAAGCCGTAGGTCTCGGTCTCCTATGACTGTAAGAGCGTCACGGAGCAAAAGTCAGGCTTCTACCTACGGGTGCTCCATCACAACAGAAGCTGCTTCCTTCCCCTTCAATCATGAGTACGTACGGGCTCGTGGGCTTGGCCAGCCAAGTGGGATAAGAAACAACAACAACATAATTAATTCGTTGATTTAAGTTTTTTTAATTTTTTTGATTATCTCTGCTGAGATTGCATCGCTATTTATTGCTTGTATCTGCTCTTTTGCTCCATCATATTAAATAATACGGAATAAATGCAAATAATGGATGAATTCGTTAATATCATCCTTTATTATTATTGGAATAAATAAGAATTATCGAGAGATTACTACATGACAATAAATATTTATTACAGATGCATCGATTTAAATAAACTAACATTGGAATTAGAGATTGCAAAACCGGTATACCAAGATACCGAATACCGGTATTTTGAGCCATTTGTACAATTTTGTGATACCGGTATTCACAAGTTTGAATACCGTTTTTTCGGTATTTACTAGAAATTTAAAATTCTTGTCTCTGAAAAATTCTTATTCTATAATAAATTTTTATTCTTATTCTATTCTCCACAAATCTATCCGCATTCAGAAGAATTCGGTACAGTTATCGCAGATTATGATGACACTAATGTCGATTGTGAAAAGGAATTGTCTCTTGAACAAAAATTAGAATTGGCGGTAACTAAAAAAATTTCAACAAACCAAAATACACTACAGAAATCAGCTATATCCAAAATAATCCGCCGAGAAATAGATTTATTTGAAGAGGAGGGATTTAGAGGCAATTATTTGGAAAAAGTATATCGCGCATTGCTAACAGTACCACCCACTAGCGTAGATGCTCAAAGAGCGTGGTAATTTTTGCACAAAATTACGTTCCATGCTTAATGATAGTACAATTGATACATTATGTTTTTTAAGATCACATTTCAAAAATTTGTAATAGTACCACAGACTGATTGTGATATTTACACTTGTGATTTAAATAAATAAGATGTTCCTTTAATTTTTTGTGATTCTTTATATACTGTTATAATTTATAAATTACAATTTTTTTTGTGATATTTGCATTCTCTAATAAAACTCGCAAATAAAACAAGAAAAAACAAAAAACAAAAAAAAACAAAAACAAAAAAAAACCCGTGTTTTCTTTCTGTTTCTAAAATTTCTACTACCGGTATTAAAATTGGTATCCCGGTATTAAGATCTAAAAAATACCGAATACCGGTATTGAACTTTTGGTTCGATATTGCAATCCCTAATTGGAATTCATAGGAGGATATTGAAATCGTTCAAAGTCAAATCGTAGTTTTGTCAAGTTACTGCTTTAAAAATTGATTACACACAGATTAACAAAAGTGATTACGTCACAATTTCTCACATTGAAAATCCAATTGTCTATCTGAAATTGTTTAAGATTTCTCTTTTATGAGACCCAAAAGTAGTATAGTTATCCTTGAAAAAATTGTCCCCTCCCTTGGAAAGCATTCTGTCTTTAGATGCATTGCAATGCTCCTAGACCAGGGGTCGGCAACCTTTTGAGTCGGAAGAGCCAAAAATGCAATTTACAAAATTTCAAATTTTTTAAAGAGCCACAAAATTTTTTCTTGCTAACAATAAATGACAGGTGGGCTGAAAGGTTCATAGGCTGTCACATAGATGGCACTACTAGTATTAAATCCATATGATTATTAGTTAGCCCTAACCTTCAAAAGACACGTGTATAAATTTGACAGCTGTTGCATTATTAGTATGTGAGTTATAGCATTTGTAGTGTTCCTCACGTGCAGTCCACTCGGCTGACTGTCGATTGAACTCCGGTGTGAAATGATGGAGCCATGTTCTATCCATTGTCACATATCGACGCAAAAATTCGGGTTTATTACGATTGAACAGCTCCAAACACTGCTTAGAATTATCAATTCGTTGTTGTTTTTGGTCAATTGTGAGCTCGCGCGATACGCACTTTGAACAGAGCTTCTGTATATCAAATATTCATTCACGGTATGTCCAATACGTCCCTTTGATATCTTTAGGGTCTCAGCTATCTCAATCAACTTCACTTTACGGTTATCAGAAATTGTTTTGTGGACTTTTTGTTTTTTTCGTCGGTAACAGCCTCTTTGGGGCGCCCACTGCGTGCACCGTCCTCGGTGCTTATTTCGCCTCGTTTAAATTTACCAAACCCCTTCTCTACGGTTGATTTATTTGGTGCAAAGTCCGAATAATGTTCATCAATCCAAGCCTTGGCTTCAATAGTATTTTTTTTCGCCAAAAAGCAATGCTTTAATTAACACACGAAATTCCTTTTTATCCATTTTTTCAAACTAACAGAAGTTGCTTCACTAAAAATGCTATAACTCCCATACTAATAGTGCAACAGCTGTCAAATTTATACACGTGTCTTTTGAAGGTTAAGGCTAACTAAAAATCATATGGATTTAATACTAGTAGCGACCATTTAATAATACTAGCCCACCTGGTAATACTCGCATAAATAAAGTTTTTTGATAAAAAAAAACTAATCTATTAATTCATAAGAAAATATATTTATTTATTCATAAGAAAAAATATCTATTTATTTATTTTTAGATAATTACTTATTATTTAAGTAAAAAAATTACAACATTTAAACATTTACTTACAACATTAACTTGTACTTCAATAATAAACAATTGAACAAACCAATTCAATGGTAGCGATGGCTTTGCATGCTTATTCAAGTAGAAAAGTTAAACTTTACTAAACAATGTAACTTGTACTTAAAATAAAAAAAACAATAACATACATTTGAGCAAACAAATTCAATGGAAGCGTTGGCTTTGCAGGGTTTTAGAAAGTTTGAATAAATTTGGCTCATAGCTTGTTGCTTTGAGTTTCAAACACGACTCTAAATTTTCATTTGTTAGTTGGCTTCTTACTTTACTTTTAATTATATTCATACAAGAGAACGCTTGCTCGCACGAATATGTCGATCCGAAGATAGTCAGCACTCCAAATGCCAACTTCTTCACCTCACTGTAGCAATCTGGAAGACTATTCCATGCTTCGAATATAAGTGCCGCAACTCGCGGCATTTCTTTTAAAGTTGTCCAGTTTTGTTGCGTTACGTACATACATTTCTGGACCTCCAACTCTTCCAACTTGCTTTTCAATTCTGTAAATTTTCCACCCCACAAAGCTTTACTTTTTAAATCGATCAATTACATTTCCAGAGATCCAGTATCAATTCCAAATGGCTCAATGTGGATTTCGTTACTATTTATGTTAAAAGGATTTACTATGAATGCTAGAGTGGTTTTGCTGGCTTTGAATTGCTCAAATCTGCCAGCAAATTCATCTTTAAATTTTTTTTATAACTTTGCTGAAGTACCTCGTGTAAACAGTTGCACTGGTTTTATCGCGATATTGCTTTAGAAATTGAAAATGACGTAATCTACCCCTCTGAATATCTTCTGCAAAAATAATTAATTTTTCTTCAGAACAAACCAATTCTTCTACCAAAACATAGGCTGGGTTTCCCTTTCCTCGCAATTTTAGATTCAGCTCATTTAATTTCGTTGTGATATCCACCATAAAGTAAAAAATTTTCAACCATTTGTCATTCTCTAATTCAGGGTGATTAATGCCTTTTTCATTTAGGAATGCATTTATTTTATTCGAGCACAAAGCAAAACGTTTCAATACCTTACCTTTGGAAAGCCATCGCACTTTATTGTGAAGAAGGAGGTCGGAATACTGAGTCTCCATTTCGTTTAATTCTTTAAACTGACTATGATAGAGTTCTTTTGACAAGATGCTGTTAACAATCTTGATTACCAAATTCATGACCTCAACTATTTTGGCCGGAAATGTTTGGACACAAAGAGCTTCTTGGTGTATTATGAAGTGAAACGTAAGAATTCCATGGTTTATTTTGCTCTGAAGAATCGTTGTTGCCCCTTTATTTTTTGCTGTCATACTTCTGGCTCCATCAGTTGCTATTGAAACGAAATTATTTAAATTAATGTTATTGTCTTCAATGCATTTTTACACGGCATTCGCTATATCTTCCCCTCCAGTTTGTCCCGAGAGCGGTAACAATTCTAGAAGTTCTTCTTTTGGACTTTGGGAAGACATATACCTGACAAAAAGGGCAACTTGCAAGTGATAACGCAGAAGGAAGTTGAATATCTTCCACCTGCAAATATGTTACATTTGAAGACATTTTAGCTATTCTATCTTGTACTGTTTTAGCAGATAGTGGGAAACCTTTGATTTTTTTCAAGATTTCTGGTTTTTTTTTGAAATAACAAAACAGTTCTTCAGATGCACATATGAAGCAATCTTTGACATACTCACCATCTGTGAATGGTTTGCCTTTTTTTTTTGCAATTTCTAGTGATACCGCGAAGCTTACCAGATTAACATTATTTGTAGATTGCGTTCAGTTACTTAACATGGAACTTGATTGCTGTTTTTGTTTTTGGAGCTCGTTGACAGCTTTTTTTTTTGTTCTTCGCCGACTGGATATTTACTAGCAAACTGAGTGTGTTTTTTAGTGAAGTGTCTCTCTAAATTTGATTTCTTATTGTGTGCGAGTTTTTCGTGGCAAATGAGACAAGTCGGAGGCCATCTGAGTGGCATATGAAAGCGAATGACTCCGTCCAATCTCTATTTTTTTTAATTTTGGCAAATATTAGATACTTAGTTTACGAGTAAAGGTGTTATACTCACGTATGCCGAAATGAGTGAAAATTGCCAAACATATAAACAATCTAAAACTGCAAATACCTATCTACTTTGATCCTCAGAGTTTGAAAATAGGTCTATTAAATAACAATTTATAGGTACTTATAATTATTATTT